CATCCTTGTTTGGTTCATGTTATTAATGGGAATGCTTCCAGTTTTTCTCCATTTAGAATGATGTTGGCTATGGGTTTGTTGTATATACAGCTTTTATTATGTTGAGGTGTGTTCTCTCTCCAGTCCAATTCCCTCTAGGACTTTGAACATAAATGCATGTTGAATTTTGTCAAAAGCCTTTTCTGCATCTATTGAGATGACAATGTGGTTTTTGTCTTTGAGTCCATTTATATGATTAATGACATTTATTGACTTGCATATATTGAACCAGTCCTGCATCTCTGGGATAAAGCCTACTTGATCATGCCAAATGATCTTTTTGATTTGTGTCTGTATGTGGTTTGCAAGTATTTTGTTGAGAATGTTTGCATCTATACTCACTAAGGATATGAGTCTATAGTTTTCTTTTTTAGTTGTATCTTTACCTGACTTGGGTATTAGAGTGATGCTGGCTTCATAGAAGCAAATTGGGAGTTCTCCCTCTGTTTCTATCATTTTGAATAATTTAAGCATTATTCATTGGAGGTCTTTTTTAAATGTCTGGTACAATTCTGCAGTAAATCCAGCAGGGCCTGGGCTTTTTTACTTGGGAGGCTTTGTATGACTGTTTTAATTTCCTTACATGTTATGGGTCTGTTTAAACTGTTGATCTCTTCCTGGTTTAACGTTGGTGGTTCCCATGATTTTAGGTATCCATCCCTTTCTTTTAGATTTTCAAATTTTGTGGCATATAGGCTTTAAAAATATTCCCTTGTAGTGGACTGGATCTTTTGGGTGTCTGTTGTCATCTTTCCCCTTTCATCTCTGATTTTGTGGATTTGTATTTCCTCTTTCTTTTGGTTAACTGGGCTAGGGGTCTTTCTAGCTCATTTAGCTTTTCAAAGAATCAGCTCTTAGATTCATTGATTCTTTGTATTATTTTATTAGTTTCTAGTTCATTAATTTCTGCTCTGATTTTTGTTATTTCTTCCCTTCTTCTGGGTTTGGATTTCATTTGTTCTTGCTTTTCCAGTGTATTGAGTTGCAATGTTGGGTCATTTATTTGGGCTTTTTCTAATTTTTGAATACAGGCAATTAGAGCTGTATTGTCATTTTTGTTGAATTCCAGGAATTCTCTTATTTCTTTCTTAATTTCTCCTTTGACCCATTGCTTAGGAGTGTGTTGTTCAATCACCATGAGTTCATGTAGTGACTAGGGCTTCATCCAGTGTTGATTTTGAGCCTTATTGCTTTGAGCTTTATTGCATTGTGGTCTGATAGAATGCATGGAATTATTTCAATTAATTTTGCATTTTCTGAGGTTTGTTTTGTGACACACTGTCTGGTCAATTTTTGAAAAAGTTCCATGGGGTGCTGAGTAGAAAGTGTATTCTTTGGCACTTGGGTGGAATAGTCGAAAGATATCTGTTAGGTCCATTTGATGTATAGTATCTTTAAATTCAGATGTCTCTG